GACCCTCAAACCATGAAGTGGAAGTGAGGGATGGGCAGATGTTATATGTGAAAACCTCTTACATGCTCCATGAGTTAGCACGTCCCACCTGAGGAGCCAGACCCAAGGCTTTAAGAGCCAGAGCCAAGGAAATGCTGGGAAAACTGTTTGACTTCCTGAGACCTATACTCTAATCATTTTAGAACCATAAATTTCTCCACATCCTCTCCAGCACATGTTGTCACTTGAGTTTTTGATCTTAGCCATTCTGATGGGTGTAAGGTGAAATCTCAGGGTCATTTTGATTTGCATTTCCCTGATGACTAAGGACGTTGAGCATTTCTTTAAGTGTTTCTCTGCCATTCGATATTGCTCTATAAATAATTCTCTGTTTAGCTCTGCACCCCATTTTTTAATTGGATTACTTGGTTTGTTGCTGTTTAACTTCTTGAGTTCTTTATATATTCTGGATATTAGCCCTCTGTCAGATATGGGATTGGTGAAGATCCTTTCCCAGTCTGTAGGCAGTTATTTTGTTCTGATGACATTGTCCTTTGCTTTACAGAAGCTTTTCAGTTTCATGAGGTCCCATTTATTGATTGTTGATCTTAGGGCATGTGCTGTTGGTATTCTGTTCAGAAAGTTGTCTACTGTGTCAATGAGTTCAAGGCTCACATGCTGGAGAGGATGTGGAGAAAGGGGAACCCTACTCCATTGTTGGTAGGAATGTAAACTTGTACAACCACTTTGGAAATCAATCTGGCGCTTTCTCAGACAATTAGGAATAGTGCTTCCTCAAGATCCAGCTATACCACTCCTGGGCATATATCCAAAATATGCTCAAGTACACAACAAGGACATTTGCTCAACTATGTTTGTAGCAATTTTATTTATAATAGCAAGAACTGGAGACAACCCAGATGTCCATCAATGGAGGAATGGATACAGAAATTGTGGTACATTTACACAATGGAATACTACTCAGCAATTAAAAACAAGGAAATCATGAAATTTGCAGGCAAATTGCAGGAACTAGAAAAGATCATCTGAGTGAGGTAACCCAGAAGCAGAAAGACACATGGTATATACTTATAAGTGGGTATTAGACATGTAATATAGGATAATCATGCTAAAATGTATACATCTAAAGAAGCTAAGCAAGAAGGAGGACCCTGAGTAACATGAGCAATACTCACTCAGAAAGGCAAATGGGGTAGATATCAGAAGAGGGAGAAAACAGGAAACAGGACAAGGAGCCTACCACAGAGGGCCACTGAAAGACACTACCCAGCAGGGTGTCAAAGCAGATGCTGAGGCTCATAGCTAATCTTTGGGCAGAGTGCAGGTAATCTTACAAAAGAAGAGCAAGGTAGAAAGACCTGGAGGGGACAAGAGCTCCACAAGGAGAGCAACAGAACCAAGAACTCTGGGCCCAGGGGTCTTTTCTGAGACTGATACTCCAACCAAGGACCATGCATGGATATAACCTAGAACCCCTGCACAGATGTAGCCCATGGCAGCTCAGTCTCCACATGGGTGCCCTAGTAAGGGGAACAAGGACTGTCTCTGATATGAATTCAGTGGCTGGCTCTTTGATCACCTCCCCCTAATGGGGGAGCAGCCTTACCAGACCACAGAGGAAGACAATGTAGCCAGTCCTTATGAGATCTGATAGACTAGGGTCAGATGGAAGGAAAGGAGGACCTCCCCTATCATTGGACTTGGAGAGGGGAATGGGAGGAGAGGAGGAAAGAAGGGTGGGGTTAGGAGGGAATGAAGAAGGGGGCTACAGCTGGGACATAAAGTGAAAAAAATGTAATTAATATAAAAAATAAAATTAAAAATAAATATTAAAGAACCAGAAATTATCCTAAATTTTAATGAGATTTCTATATTTCTTTGTTCTCCCACTACATTCTCTTCCATCATTGCCAGAAGACAATTGGAATTAGTATTCGGGACTGAGGAGGTGGTTAAGTGGGTAAAGCACTGGCTATGAGTGTTAAGGCCTGAGTTCAGGATCCTAGCAGCGTGTAGTGCTGGCAATGTAATGTGCAGTAGTGCACATCTGTAATCCCAGCATGCCTATGGGAGAGGAGATGGGGCAGTCCTTGGAAGGTCATAGGGCAGTTAGCCTGGTGCACACAGTGACAAACAAGAAAGGATACAAAGTGAGGGCTGATGCTTAGAGTTGTCCTTTGACCTTCACACAGTCACTAAGTCAGGCGCATTGAATCCCACTTAAAAATGGGATTCAAACTAAAGAAAATTATAAAACTCAATAAATCTAGAAACCATGCCTTGCTCCAATTTGCTCACTTCTTTTCACCGATTGTATCACCCCCTTCTTATTTGCCCAGAGTTTAAAAAAAAAGAAAAGAAAGAATGAAAGAAACAAACAAACAACAAAGCACAGCACTAGAGTTGGCCATCCTCTTAGTTTCCACACTCACGCATCATCTTCACAGTGCCTCTCCTGATCCCATCTCCATATGCAGCCCTTTTTTCTCGTTTCATGTGGAGCAGGCACCTATCTCTAGCCTAGAACAATATTCGTAACGCCTGTCCCTGCTCCCATCCACCCTATACTGAATTGCCAGATTCACTTTCACAGAAGAAAGTTTCAATTCCTTATCTTACTGGAATAGAGCAGTTAGCAGCTCCTCCATCACTTTCAGTATTGCATTCAAATTTTGTAGCCAAAACAGCAAGACTTGTCATGATCCGAACACAGCCTAGTTTTACATCTTAATATCCCATATGCAAATTAACCTCAAGTTAGAACCTGAAGGCTGGCTGTTTTAAGTGCAATGCCTATTCCTCAGCTTGAAATGTTTCTCCTGTGCATTCCACCAAAGAAATGCTTTTATTCTCTAAGACTAGTTAGGACTCATTCTGCCATAGAACCCTCTGGTGGCTTCCTAGGCAGGAGCAATCACCTTACCTTGTAAACTACCAAGACATTTGATCTGTACAGCTTTCATGGAGCCTGTCACTATGGGACTTCAAACTAGATTTTATTCAGTGTATGTCTTATGCCTTGTACTAGGAATGCGAGTTATTTAAAGTTAGAGACTGCTGCCTTATGCATTGTGAGCACAGTGTCATCTAGCATCAGTGTTCTTAACCCTGGATCCGCAGAACTCGGCTGGAAAAGCAACCTTCCCCCAGCTAAGCTCACACTGATATTTTTGCCTTTCCTCAAGTGATGGCTGAAAGTAACAGTCTATTGTAGCTATAGTATTATCACACTAAAACCAGGCAATTCCCGATCTCATTGAACTTGTTAAAGTATCTGCAGATGTCAGTTATAGCATGGCTGGGGGCATACCTTAAACTTTATTTTACTGTATTAATAAAGAATCACATTCTGCCTTACCACATTTTAAAAATTATTTGGGAGTTTTATTCACTTCTCTGTAAGTCTATGTATTTTGTTTTCTGAGTTTACCATAAGTCTAAGAAAGGAGATAAAGGCTCCACTAGACTGCTGAAGGGAGTCATAGAGAAAATAAAACCCCGAAAGAGCAGAAAAGTCAGCACAGAGTTCACACAGTAATGATCAGATGCGTTACCCATAACTGCTCATTGGCCGCTCTAGAACATACATGTTCATGTTTTAAATACTGACCAGAATGTACCAATCATCTTATTCCACAATCTAAAGGTGAATGGAAGAAACATATTAGAAATGCCTGACAACTGAGAAAGAAAGAAATGGCTTGAAACCCAATATTGAAGAGGCAATCAGTACATATGAGCACACACACATACATCCATAGGTGACAAAAAGGACATAGTCACACATGGATGTGTAGAAAGATGCACGTGATGTATGTATCAGGCAAACACAAGAACTCCAAAGGTCTGTAAATGAGCAGAAATGTAAAGTTGAAAATCCTATTACCCCAGCAGTCTCCAGAGGCATCATCACATTAAAGAGCCATGGAATAACTGACATTTAAATGTGATAATCATCAGGAACACCTCAAATGCACATAGTTTGCAGTTTATAAGAGACCTTTATATTCATTGTTTGGGTTATTTTTCAAAATGTTTCATTTGCCATGTCAAAAACCAGGACCACGCAACTTTTGAATTCTGTGGCTTAGAGAAGGTGAACTTGGGTAGAGAAGTGTGAGACAGGGCTTCAATCCCTTAGCTACTGCACAGTAGCCCTGAGTCATCAAAGGCATCTGCATACATGGCAACAATCTGATTAACATGACAAAGAAATGAGCAAAACCTTTTAGAAAAAGTTCCACAAAAGTCAATTAACGACAAACTTTAAGTCTTTACAAGAATAAAATTAAGTTAGATGAGGTCTACCTGCTCATCAAATCCCAGTTTCCTACTGTGTCACAGAGTTCTACATTTCACTTATGAGTGATAAATCCAGGGCTAGGTTAGGCCCGAAGCACACAGATAAAGAACACGGGCACACACCTATTGTGATAACCACATGGAGCATTTTTTTTAAATACAGTGTCCACTGGAGAGTCCTATGGAGAGAAGGTGAGCGCAGGAGGCTGTGGCAGGCACCACATCCGGCCCTTAGAGAGCATCGGCAGCTCTCCTCCCTACTCCAACATTCAGGGGTGAGCATAAAATTTAAAATGTGTAACAGTCATAAAATGGAAGAGAAATAGATTAGAAAACAGTTTACTTCATTTTAAAATGGGACATATGATCATAAAAATTATCTGCCAAAAGGAAATAAGAAAAAAAAAAAAGCACTAAAATTGTAGTTAGAAATATTCACTTGCTATTTTCATCCAGGGTGGTGGTTAAGGTCAGTTCTAATCCTTGGGGTATTGTTGTAAGATATAAACAAAATGCACTGGTTTTGAGAAAACTGGGGCTATCTGCTTAGCACTCCTAATGGACTTCAGTCAGCTGTCACCATAGTAACCTCTGAGTGACTACTATTCCTAGCTGGCAGCACGTAGGCACTCTGGCCCTTGGGATTCCAGTCATTCTGCTATGGCCAGAAGAAAAGCGCAGAAGGGAAGTCCACATACCCTCTTGTTCTGTCCGAGTCATCTCCTCCAGCTTCTTCTGCTTCAGCGTGTCCACCACATCAGCAAGGCTCCCTTTGCGGCGTTCTGGGGTTCCAAAAGTAACACTGTTCATTATCTCGCGCTCCCGACTCCCTTCGTCAGGCTTATGTGGTGAGGTAGACGTATTGCGGAAGGAATATAGGGAACATAACTTATTATTTTCTGACTCCTAGAAAAATAAAATGAGATTGCAAAAAAGTCATTAATATGTAAGTTTCCTTTAAAGCCACTACAAAATAATAAAAAGAAAGAAACAAAAGAAAACTAAAAAACCTAACTGCTGAAGGATAGTCACTAGATCAAATAAGTTATATTAGCAAAATAAAGTAACTCATGCAGTGAGACAAACTAAACAGCATGTCTGATAAGCAATCCTGAACTTTAAAGTAGCAGTTAATTACCAAAGGAACTAAACTCAAATCCCAGATTCAAGCTGCTTCATTTTTGAGGTAATAAAACAAAACTGGACACTTTGGCTTCTCATTCACTCATGCTTTGAGTTTATGAGAATTCAGTTTCGTTGAACCGGGTTTAGAATTGGTGAGGTTTTTCTACCCAACTGGGTCTTTTTATCAGCAATACCCTTCACAGAGACAAAAATATGTATAAACAGACACACATGTACGCATGCCAAAAAAAAAGTTTTTTCCCTTTAGAAACACTGGAAGTTAGCTTCAATGTCCAACATTCACTACTCACTAAAAATTACATAAAATGTCTAAACCTGTGCCGTAGAGCCAGAGATCTGAATATTTCGCATGCCAGTGTTTGTAGGAGTTCCTTGTTTCAAGCTGCACACATGTCTATAGTCACTGAAGCTCCTGTTCACTCCTCAGCCCTGCCCCTGATGTTCACCACGCCACAGCATGCCTCTCACAAGACATTTCAAAACTGTGTTTAACTAAAATAAAATGCTCATTGCGGAAATGTTTGCACAGGAATTACTTCACAGTATACAAAGGTTTGCTAATTACTAGGAAGCCCATCTATCAGCTCAAGAGAGGAGCAAATATTACGTTAAAATACAAACTCCATATGAAAGCTTTTTGAAATGGAAATGGTTTTCTATCTCTAGATCAGAACTGAAGATTCAGGGATAGAGAAATGGTTCAGCTGTTAAAAGTGCATGCTGCCTTTGGAGAGGACCAGAGTTCAGTTCCCAGTACCCACATGGTTCATTTCACAATTCTACAATTCCAGCTCCAGGGCACTTAATGTCTCTGGCCTCTGTGGGCACCTGTATTCACATGTTTACAGTCGCAAACCCACACATACAAATAATTTAAAATAAAATAATGATAATAATAAATTCAGAAGCAAGGGTTAGAGGCAACTGTTACATGACTGTCACCCTCTGTATGCCGCATCTGAACAAAACTGTTCTTTTCCTGATTAGAGACAGGAAAACTGTGAAATGTCCAGTCTTCAGAAACTTCAGAATCCTAATGGCTCCCAATCTCTTTCCTTCCAAAGGTAGCCCAGCCAGCTTGAGTGAAGGAGGACTAAGGCTGGGTCAGAGGCAGAACACTTTCCTGGCCTGCAAAAGATACCAGGTTTGGCCTCCAAGAACATATAGCAGAAATAAATTAGTATAGGAAGAAATGGGAGGCTAGTGAGACAGAGTTGGTCTGGGATGGGGGGATGGGGAGGCATGAGAGTTAAAACAGTGGAATTTCATAAATGAAATTAAATGAAACACTGGCTATGCTAAATAGTACTATTGTCACTGTTCATAATGTAAAAGAAACACTATTTTTTTCAAGGTTGTTAAGACCATAGGATGATGTAGCACTTCATCTACTTCTGTCTCTGGGCATGGTACCAAGCCCCCAGATCTGAGGTGACGTCCTGAAGGAAGGGACTGGGACTAGAGGGATTATAAAGCAAAGTCATTGCTATGACCCTGGGATTAAGTTAAATACTCTGAGTACCTGACAATCTACTGAATGGCCTGTGTTAACTGGATAAGCTGCACGGTATGAATTTTAATAAAACTATGCTATTTAAAAGAGGAAGACATGAGTCTTCAGCTCCCTACCTTCATAGTATTGCAAGCACAGTGTTGGAGGGGGTGTGCAATGGCTGCAATCTGAAATAATCAAGGACAAAGCAAATGGCTGAGGCATAGTTTAAAGTTCCTTACTGTGCACCTAGAGCACCTCAGTCACCCATGGAAGACACCGCATCTCAGCTGACACCTACAAGCATTCTGTGGAGAGAGGCAGAGACTCCCCTCTGTGAGCTGCCTGCTATGTCTGGGACTCCTTATACTCCTTAGGATACTGGGTTCATTCTTCACTTTGTGCAAACAAGACCCCAAGAAACATAGTTGCTGGTGCCACTGTGACTGTGGTATTGGTGAATAAATAATATTCACTAGATCCTTCATCCTTCACTTTTCTTCAGATGCAAAGTATGCTCATATAGCCTAAAAATAAAAATTAAAGCCCCGGCACAAGCTAAGAAGAGCTGAATGACAAAAACAGTGGCACAGAGACATGCTCACCTAAAGTGACTCCACTGACCAGAATGGAGGTCTTCTCATTGCTGTCAGATGGAGGCTGAAGGGTCCTGAAGAGGCACTACAGGCTAGTTAGTACTCCATGCATGGAGTGCCATTTGTTCCTCAGGCTCAAGTTCAGCAGTCCTGTGAGCTGCTTATTATATCACTTGTCTGTTAGACTGTGTTCTTATTTAATGGTCATGGGAATAAGATTACTGCCATCCTATACAAAAGACAATAACTATGAGCCCTTTTACTTCAGTGATGACCTATACTGTCCTTTGTCCCATAATCTGTACAAAGTGCCTCTACACTACCAAGTATAGAACATGAGGCTGCGAAGCCATGATTTTTCTCAGGAAATCCACAAGAACTACTTGTAATAATGTTACCAAAGCACCAACACAGGCACCGAGTAAAATCATGAGAGGCTAAAGTTGTAACAAATCCATTTAAACTGGCCTTTGGAAACATGGAAAGAGGGTGTGCTTATCACACCTAAACTTTATAAAGTATAATAAACACTGGGATTTTCGTGAACAGAAAATTTGAGTAAAATTGAGTAAAACTGACAAGTAATCAATGTAGCTTTTACATATTTGTCTCATGGATGGAAGAATCCCCAAATGAGAGAGGGAGGGAGAGAGAAAGAGCGATAGAGAGAGATCATACCAGGGCTCCTCCCAGGAAGACTCAGAAACCATCATAGAAGAGAGTGTGGAAGGGCTGTAAGAGCCAGAACCTGGGAGAACCGCGGCAAGGGTCTGTCCTGGATATGACAGGGCCACCACTCATGAACTTCAGCAGCTGTGGCCCCCACACAACATCTGAGACAGAGATCCTGACCTTCCTGCAGGAAATATTGCCCCCTAAGAAGATAATAGAATAAACGCATGTGAGGACTGGAGAGCTGGTTCAGTCTACAGAGTGTTTGCCATGCAAACATAAAGACCTGAACTCAGGTCCTCAGCTCTGATGTGAAAGCTGGGCATGGTATTGTAAACTTACAGTCCAGCTTCTAAGGAAGCAGAGGCAAGCCAATCCCTGGAACCGACTGGCCAACCATGTTACACAAATGAGTGAACTATGGACCTGTCTGCAAATAGAGATGGAGAGGGATGGAGAAGACACCCAGGATTAATCCGGGCCTATGCAAGGATGCACATGCGTGCACGTGTGCAAACACACACACACACACACACACACATACACACAAACATACACCACAAAAACAGTTTTTTAAAGTTTTACATTGTACTTGGCCTTAATATTGCAATGCGGATATAAAAAAAAAAAAAAAAGACAAACTAAATCTAGGGAGTTGAGTTTTGTTTTGTTTTGTTTTTTAATAAATAACAAGACAGGAAATGACTCCCCTTCTTTTGATCTTTCTTTGGAAAACAATTACTAAATCACATGAGTGATCACAGGAACATCACCAAAAGCCAGGAATGAGGAACTCAGCAAGTAAGCCACTGTCATGTTTAATAGAAATTTACAATAGATGTGCACCCTTTCAGCCCTCACCTCAATGTCCTACCAAAAGTAATAGTAACAGAAAATGATATCTTTTAAAAGAATTCCTGTGCCAATACAAGACTAAGATGTACAAATTTAGATTGTGTAAAGAGTACATCAGTGTGAATCAATTAAACACATGAAATGATGCAGATGACTGAGAAATCCAGAGTAATGAAAAAAAAAAATTCAGAAGCTCCAGAAAAGAGAAGGCCATTTTCACAAATCAAGAATTTCAATGAAAATGTTTCCTAGTGGCTGAGGGTACAGACAAGTAAATATTTTTAAACACAAGATATTATTTTAATTGCTCAGATTTTCCAGAATTGTTAGCCCAAATTGACTGCTGAGTGGTAGTTTTTAAAGGAATTTGAATTACTCCAATCTATGCTTCTAAATGTCTCACCACCTTCCATAGAATGATCTGTGTCTTCCTTGACTGGAAATCTAAGCTTTCTGTCAAGTTAACATCAACCTACATTTCACCCTTGAAACCCCCCCTGGCCCGCATGGGTGCATCACCAATCAGCTGCTGCCAGGATCACACCTTGAAGAATGTAACCAAACACACGATTCAGCCCTTAAAAACACACTATAATAGCTAATTCTTTATTATTTTGAATGTCATGGATACATTTATAATTGAATATTTTTTTGGAGTTACATACTAGAAACTGCAGACTGATGAACTTCCAACAACACTCTCCAAGTATTTCCAAAGAACTAAAAATTAAGACTGAGGGAAAATTTCTTTAACAACTACATGAGTGTATAAACAAAATACTTAGAAGAGATAGACTTAAAAATAAGTGGTCAGTGATACAGCTACAAAATAGAATTCCACAAAGCCATCAAACCTCTTCTGGCTTAGATGAACATAGTATTTATGATGGAGAATAACTGTGAGCAATCTCAATGCGTGATTGTAGGGACAGCTTGAGAGCATTGTGGCTGTATACACATGATGCAGTACTTTAAAACCACTGAAAATCATAGTTCTGCAGGATATTTAATCACATGCAAATATGCACAATGTACTATGAATGAGAAAATAAGGTTGATATAAAAATCTTCAATATACCTATTTTAAGAAAAATATGCACACTTAGAGCCCAAAATATCCAACAAACAAAATACTGATGGTGCCA